AATTTCTGTGATCAAAGCTGAATTTTCAGCAGCCATTGCTGCGTCATATTTTTGCGGAAATGTTTGGGGTAAATACGATTTTTCATTTTATTGATCAAGGACGCATTAAAATGATCAAAAAGGCATTCATAATGTTGTATTTCAAATAAATGCTGTTCTTTTGAACTTTCTATTAATCTGTGAATCCTAAAAAATAAAACATATTACGGTTTCCACAAAAAAAAAAAAAATTTCAACATTGATAATAATCAGAAATGTTTCTTGAGCAGCAAATCAGCATATTAGAATGATTTGTGAAGATCATGTGACACTGAAGACTGGAGTAATGATGCTGAAAATACAGCGGCGAATCACAGAAACATTATACAGATATTCACATAGAAAACAGCTATTATAAATTCAAATAATATTTCATAATTTTTACTGTATTTTGATCAAATAAATGCAGCCTAGCTGAGCAGAAGAGACTTCTTTCAGAAACATTGATAAATCTTACTGACTGATTTGTTGAAGTTGTTTAATAAAATAAAATAAAAAAATAAAAACAGATTATCAAAGTATGTTAACATTCATTTAACAAAATTTTGTGTTTGATTCAATGTTTCTTTGTAGGAAGCCCCGCACGTGACATGCAAGAAAAAATAAATAAATTGTGCGCACGATTTACTAATTTGTTCCCTCAATGTACTAAATCGTGCACATGATTACTATTTCGTTCCCTCGATTTGCTAATTTGTGCACACAATTCACGAATTAGTTCTCACTATTTATAAATCATGTGCACGAATTAGCAAATCAAGGGAACTAATTAGTAAATTGTGCACACAATTTATAACTCGAGGGAACGAAATAGTAAATCGTGCGCACAATTTATAAATCAAGGGAACAAATTAGCAAATCGTGCGCACAATTTATAAATCAAGGGAACAAATTAGCAAATCGTGCGCACAATTTATAAATCAAGGGAACAAATTAGCAAATCGTGCGCACAATTTATAAATCGAGGGAACGAAATAGTAAATCGTGCGCACAATTTATAAATCGAGGGAACGAAATAGTAAATCGTGCGCACAATTTATAAATCAAGGGAACAAATTAGCAAATCGTGCACACAATTTATAAATCGAGGGAAC